GGAAGAGGAAGGGGTAGGCAGTGGGGTGTGGGCCATGGGGGCGCCACAGAAGGGTGTGCTGTGGCTCTGGAGTGGTTGACTTGCAGACCTGTTGTCCTGCACCTCTCTGAAGCAGCAGAAGTAGCAAAGGACCAACAATTCTGAAACCTGTGGCAGATGTCATGCTGGACACTGGAGGAAGGTTTAGATTCAGGGAATTTTCTCATTTGAGAGCTCTTGGGCCCTGTAACCAGCCAATACTGATTGCCCCTCCTTAGAAATGAAGCTCTGACCTTGAAGAGGCCCCCAAAGGCGGCATTCTCTGTCCCGTCCTGCCATGGCGACATGTGGAGTACACGTCATCTGGCTTGGGGTAGGGTCGAGTCTACAGTTATTGCTTTGTGGAGTGCAGATTAAGCCCCCTAGAGCCCTCTAGGTCATGGCCCACATTCTCTGGGGCCCTAGGGGGAAGGAATGGTTCCATATTCATTAAGGTGAGCTTGAAAAGAGGTGAGTGTGAATTGTGGCTTCATAAAAAAAAAAAAAAAAATAGTACATGCTCAATACTCTGGCGCTGGTTAAAGAAGCTTTGCTGTTTATTTTGGTGACCAATCCCCATTCTCCCTGCACTTTCCATTTCACATGTTGTGTTTGGTTAGATTCCCACTCGCTGCTCACAGCTCCAAAGCATGCCTGAGACCATGCTTGCTGGGCCCCACGGACTGCTAGATGGCTGATGCCTGAAGCCTGAAGCCTGAAGCCTGCAGGCCCAGGGAAGATGCTCAGCTCCTCCAGTGACTTGGCTGATCATCTGGTAGACGAAAGCAAGAAGTAGGTTGCGTTCTGCCAGGTATTTGGCGTCTTGTAGTCACACCTCGAGGAACATTTTCCCCTTTAAATTTTAAAGCATCTCTGTCCTGTGATTGCTCTGATTTTGGAGAGAAATGAAGGCAGCTAGTGACGTTCTTGAACCAAAAGCTGCTTTGCGTATGTGCCAGTCCGGGAGGAAAGAGATAGTAGCATCTGGCCCTATGAATGACTTCTTACTTGTACCCCAAAGCAAGGAAGCAGCAAGGGCAAAAGCCACTGGGGGGGCTGTTGTGGCAGTGAGGTCAGTTGCCTTTTGAATTGTAGGAGCACGAGGCTCAAGGCATAGGGAGGAAGCAGGAAAAGCAGAGAATAAAATTGGAATGGAGGGAGGTGTAGCTTAGGCCCTCTCAGGGGTGAGGCTTGGCTCAGATGTCATGGTCTCTGTTCCTGTCGACAGTTTCTGTCTGATAGTAGCTGACTTTCCCGATGCTCTGAGTTCTCTCTAGTTTTGGCCACCTAACTCCAAGGGGCCCCAAGCGTTTGGGGTGTGTGATTCTGGGCAGCAAGGGGCTGTATTCCATGGGTTCTGCACTTGGAGTGGGATCTGGGTCCTGAGTGGGGAAGGATGGCGAAGGANTGTATTCCATGGGTTCTGCACTTGGAGTGGGATCTGGGTCCTGGGTGGGGAAGGATGGCGAAGGACTTCATGTCAGCTCTGTCATTGTCTGGCCTCCTGGCAGGGGGCAGAGCTCGGTGGCGCTGGGTGCAGGGAGGAAGATGTGAGGTAGGTTGGCGGACGTGTAGGATGGAGGTGGGTGCAGAGTGAACTCGCCTGGAGGCTTGCTTCTGAGGAGGAGGACCGGAGAGAGCAATCTATGGGGTTTGGTGATGAAGATGGTTCCGTGTCCGTGGTATTTGAATAAAACACATTCTGAGAAATCAGTCAATTACTTTTTTAAGCCCCTCATAGAAAAATATATCCAGAATGAATCTGTTTCACACCTCAGTTCTGAAATTGCCTTTAGTTCACAGGTTATTGGTCAACAGAAAACAAGAAGTTGTGGCTGCACAAAGCTGACTCCAGGCTGCTTTCCTGTGTGGAGTCTCAGCCATTACCATTCTTCAGGGCAGCAGGCTGTTCTCTGCTTTGTTTGGGGTTGAAAGCTGTCCTGCAGGGCACCTACCTGAAGCTGACAGCCCTTTCTGTCCAGAGGGTCAGGGAGGTGGGGAGAGAGCCAGGTTGGGGTGGGAATGGGAGGGACTGAGCCTCTGGTGTCTGGTGATGCTATCTCTAGATCAAAGTACTTGAAGCTTGGTAGTAGTCAAGCTACTTGAAGGTTGGCCCCAGTCAAGTCTTTAGAGGGCTCTACTGGCTACTTCTGGGGGTTTGGGTAAGTAATAGGACCTGTGAATGACTCGGAGGCTTAAGATAAAAGCCTGGGCCAGCCCCAGGCAGCGCTTGCTGGGTCAGGGTTGCTGGGGCTGGCATTTGCAGCATCATGCATGGTCCATGCCCAGGCCTACTTGTGCAGAACGTCCACACAATCACCCAGAAACAGGCATCCCTCTCTGCTACCCAATCTGTGGGTAGCTAGGTGGGCTTTTGGGCCCAGAACCTCCACGTGGGCTCACTAGGGCAGGAGAACAAGGGCCTCCATTTCAAAGCCTAATGTCACCACAGGTGTTGATTATTTGTGTGATTCTGAAAAATATGTTGAATTTTTGTGAAACTGATTTTATTTAAAAATTCAGTAATGTTGGTATAGTGAGTTCACTATGTAAGTGGCCTTTTTGGTGATTCTTTTGGTAAAATACTTCTTTAATGTGAAATATTGGTAGTTAGTTGATCTTTTGTGTTCATCAGAAGGATTGCTGGCTGGTTTGCTTCAAGGCCCACTTGTTGTGATGACTTCTTACCCCAGTTGGTTTTGAATTGTGTTCTATGAGCCTCTTTTGGGGCCAGCTTTCCCTGCCTCCCATCCAAGCAGCTCTGCTGGAAAACATTCACAGATGGCACAGTTTTCAGGCCTGTGATTTCTTTCTCCAATTCAATAGTGTCTGGCATGTGGGCAGCGAGACTGAAGCTGGCCGTCTCTCTAACTGCGCAGTGAGGACAATGAGAGGCAGATGTGCTTTTCAGACAAACTTAGAAATGGGAGGAACAGTGGAAAAGGAGCAGATGCAGAAACCACTCCCAGTTTAAAAGGCCAGTTGGGATCAGTTTGGTCTTTTTCTTAGGACTCCTGCAACCCAGATGTTAGAAGCTGGCAGTCAGTGGGCTCTTCCTCAGGTGGGCTCAGGGACTCTCTGCCAGGCGCTGCCATAATTCAGATTTCTCCAAAGGGTGAAGTTCACGAAAGTTGGAGAATTTCAGTGATAAAAGTGGGAGTTTGGAAGTAAATGTATCAAGAGATTGAGGCAAGAATAAAAAGAAAGGGTGAGACCCATCCATCCATCTCGGTTATTGTGAAACTGAATATTAGGCTTTTGAAGTCAGTTTCCTCAGCCTATATCTACATATTGTACCTTTAAAAAAATCTAAAATGTGAATGTACACATCTAGGCACACTCCTGAGAACTGTAGGAAACAGGTGTTTGGTGGACCAAGATACATGAGACGTACCACAAGACTGGGTGATCTCAGAAAATTGGGGGGGGGGGATGCACAGGTGGGTTAGGCAGCCAGGTGGGAATGAAAGGGAGCTGTGTGTATTTAGAGCAAGGCAGGGTCTTGCCTTCCTTTCCCTGACAAGGGCCATTCCTCAGCAGCACAGGAAAATCATGGCCATTTTGGCAGGTGAAGGGGGCTAAACTAGCTAAGGTGTCGGTGATGGGACCACCTCTCCCAACTCCAGGTGGCTAGAAAAACGATCATTCAAGCCAGCAAGTGTGCAGCATGTTTGTCCACAGATGTGAGAAGGAAAGGGGTGTTCTGAGAACCCAAGGGAGCCTCTTCCTTGCTGAGATTCTTCAACACAGGCTGTCTTCCCAGAGCTGGTTGGACTGTACTTCCAAGAGCCCACCATAGCCTGAGACACTTGGGAAAAATTCAGTAGACTAATAACCAGGCTGCATCCTTCTGATTCTGAGTTTTGGAGTGTGTGCTACTGGGGAGAGGGAGCCCATGTGTAAGAATAAACACACATTGAAACCTCACTGTGCTAACTGTGCTGCGATGCTGCAGGGACTAGGGGTACCACAGCTGAGTGCAAGGGCCACAGGCAGAAAAGAAACTGGTTTTTAAAGGGATAATGGAAATAACCTGCCTGGACCCCACTGTGTCCTTGGGGTTTTAGCATTGAGCCTGGAGATCACTCTTCTGCAGGCCGCCCGCACAATGCCAGGCAAGCCCAGTCTGCCCTGAGCTTGGGCCTAGCTAATGAAATGTCCCCCTTCCATGGTGAAAAGCAGGCACACAGGGTTTGTCCTGGCTTCTTGGGGTCCCCACCCAGAACGGAGTCCTTACCAATGAGGTGGCTGATCTGCCCTCGGGGGTGTCAGTGCTGTAGAGGACCGTTATTCCTTGATGACCACTGTTCTTTCTGGCTGTGGGATGTGGGGCGGTGACTCTCAGAGGCTTGGCCTAAGGCAGGGACGAATAGAGCTGGACCTTGGACAGCGTCTTTCTGCTTATTAGCATTTGAGATTATAAAAAATTATTTTTTAATCAAAATTTCCAAAATAAAGCGAGTGATTTCCCCACCCCCAAGCTGCAATAAGTCTCATTGGCTCTCTCTCAGGCTTACAACAAGTCAAATGGAAAGAAAAGCAGGAAGCAGCTGCGGAGGAAAAAGGTGCAGAGCGAGGACAGGTGTGGCTCTCATGCCAGAGGGGAAGCCCTGCTCCCCGCGGGCCTGTGCTTCCAGGCTCGGTTTTCGGGCCACCCCTGCAGGGTGAAGTCTGGCTGGATCTGGCGAAGAGGAGAATGACTGTGAAGGCAACGGGCGGAAATGCCCGCCTGGGAAGCAGGAGCTCGCGGTCCCACGGCGTCCCCAGGTAACATGGCGTGTAGCTGGGCACAGAAATGACTCCTTCACAGAGCAGCGCAGGTTCTCATCGTAGCTCAAGGAATACTTCCTAACGAAAAAACCCCAACCTGGTTAGCAGCGCATACCTTAGACTAGGAAACTTGCAAGGAGACCAGTGTTGAACCACGAAGCGAGTACAGGTTTTTGCTTTTGTCTGTAAAAATGTACAGGGCGCCTGCTTGGGGCTGTGGTATCAGGATGAGGTGGGGGCTCGGTGGCCCAGGCTCTGCGCTGGCCTCCTTCATACCTCGCCCACCCACACCACCGTGGTCCCCTGCTTTATGCCCGACACCTCACACCGCAGTGTGTTTTGTCGCCCATTGATGAGAAACAGTGACTCCCGGGCTGGCATGAGGAGGTACTGTCCGAACAGCCCGCTGTCCCTCACGATCCTGCGGGGCCCTCCCCAGGGCTGGGCTGGCCCCGTGGGCGGCTCCTTGAAGTTCTTCAGCACGCCCACCTTCCCCGTGGGCAGCTCTAGGAACAGCAGGTCGGGCTCTGTCTCCAGTGTGGCGTAGACATAGTACTGGTTGCTGTGGGTGAAGGAACGCTGGAATGCCACATCGGAGATGCCCTGGCTTATTTTCAGGTCATAGAGGGTCTGGATCTCTCCCCGCAGCGTGACCTCCTGCACGTGCAGCTGGGGGCTGGTGGGAGCCGCGCTGACGACAAAGCGACCGTCAGGGGACGTGTGTGGGGTGCCGATCACGCCACCATTGGGGCCAACCACGGAGTCGGTGACACTGTCGATCAGCAGCTGTGGAGCAGCAGCAGTGGCGCGGTCCTGTCTGCACTGGACGAAGAAGTAGCCGCCCAGGTGGGTGTGGGCCATGGCCTGAGGCAGGCAGCCGTGCCGCTGCAGCCCGATGGTCTTGAGGAGCATCAGCGTCTCCAGGTCGACTTTGTGAACTGCAGGCTCAGACTTGTTGAAGATGAAGCCGAACCTGGGAGGGGGAGAACAGAGGTCGGGGGTCTGAGGCCTTTTGGGGTCGGGGATCTGTCATTCATCTCACTGGATCGCAGCCTTTCTCTTTCCCTTTATCATAACCCTTCAGTGATCTGAGAGCCCATAGACCTACCATCCTGCAGGGGTTGGCGTCCTAAATGCTTCCTCTGTGATCTCAGGCACGTGAGAGTTACAAACGTTTCTGGGCTTATGCTTTCGTGACAAACACTCAGTTTTAGAGATGGCAAAGATGGAGGGTAAAAGTGCTTCCAACCGCGTCTCCCTGATGGATGCCTTTGAATCGGCTCCCTGAGGCCTCGTGCCCGCTTGGAAGCGATGGCCTGTGCCTGCAGGGAAAGGACGGGTGTCTGCCCCGACTCCACCTGCTATGAGGAAGCTGTTGGAGAGCCTCCATCCCCGCTGTGTTCTGGCCTGACCGGTGAGTCAGAATTGGAGGGCGCAGGTTCAGTGAAGCCAGCCCAGGTTTCCTGTCAGTGCTCCCTCTCCCTGGAAGCAGGAAGGGCAGCCCCTTCTCTGGTCAAGTGTATGATGCTGGTGGGAGGAACCTTGGGCAGGAGGCTGAGAGTAGGTTTTACTTTTGGAGCCAGAAGGCCTGATGCTGCTGAGTGTCCTGCCAGCTGCTGGGTCTGGGGCCAGATGCTTTCCCCTGTAAGCCTCTGTGAATCTAAGGAGCGTAGCTCCTTGGAGGGCTGTTGGGGAAGATTAAATCTAAGAGGAAGCTTTAGTGGAAGAGATCAGTATGTGATAACAGCTCACCTGAAATTCCTGAAATTCCCCATTGGGGGTCCCTTGCTTGCTAGGAAAAGGCGTGGCTTCAGGCAGGACTCCCCTTTGATCAGAGCCTCTCCTAAATCCCTTCCTCCTAGAGGCAGTTTGACACTGCATCTCCCTACAGGAATAGAGAAAAATCACTTCCACAATTTTCTCTTGAATAATAGTGCCTCAGAGTGGGGGAAATCCCTTCTTTAAAGCATCTATGAAGCATCCTTAAAGAGCCAGAGCATGGGAAGAGCAGGAAAGAAAACCCCACTCTTAAAGGAACTTTAATTTGAAAGACACACAGGGACTGGTGAGTCTCTGAGTTTGCAGAACTCCCAGCTGAATTTAGCAGCTCTGAGGGGGTGTCCCCATTTAGAACTACATTAGAGGCTCTTTCCCAGGCACTCTCCTGTGGGGTGGGGTGGGGT